ATTCTCCCCCCCCCACTTGCACTTAGATTTTATGTTAAAGAAATGTTGTTGGTTTTTTTTTGCTTTAAGTTACTCATAAATGTGATATATAATATACTTAAAATATTTGTTACTTATTATCACCTGCATCATGTTTGACAAGATTCATAACTCTAGAATGAATATTTCGAGAGTTATTCCCCCTTTGAATTTGGATTTATTTGATAGAAATTATTATTTTTTGTTCTAACTTCCATATTTTTTAAAGGATTTACATAAAGCTTTAAATTTAAGTTTCATATTGACTCTCATTTAATAATAATATGCAAGGTGTCAGTATTTTGAATTATCTTCCTTTAAAACTTAGAATTATCTTTACTTTTTGTTACAACTTCATTTCTTCAGGAATTTAATTCAGACTTCGAAAATATGTTTATTATCAACAACTTTGTCATATTAGTGCTAAGATTTATAATGCTAGCTCCTGTATTTCAAGAATTATCTTGTTTGAATTTGGAATTAAAATATTTGTAAGTAATATTTTTAGTCCCCTACCGGTTTAACCGGAGGGGACTTTAGGTTTACCCTCCGTATGTCTGTCCGTCTGTCTGTCCGTCCGTCCTTCTGTCCGTCCACAAAACTGGATTCCGCGATAACGCAAAAAGTACTGAAAATATTTTTATGAAACTTGATATATGGATAGATGGCAGTATGGAGATAATGCACGTCTTTTTTTTTTCTTCCTATGTTGAAAATTCTGGTTGCTATGGCAACAAATAGTCTGAAAATATGGCAAATTTAACACATAAACTGGATCCAGTGATAACTCAAAAAGTACTGAAAATATTTTTATGAAACTTATATGAGTAGATGGCAGTCTGCAGATTATGCACATCTTTTTCCTTTCTTCCTATGTTGAAAATTCTGGTTGCTATGGCAACAAATAGCCTGGATTTCAAGACTTCTGATTTAATTTTTTTCAGCTTTTTCACTATAAGTTCTTAATTTCTTAAGGTGTTTACTTCAAACTTTAAATATAAGTTTCTTGTCATCAACCACATCATATGTGACAAGGTTTACAACTCTAGCACAAAAATGATCAGTATTACCTCCCTTGAACTTAGATTTTTTATGAAAAAAAATGTTGTCTTTTTTTAATAACTTCTTTATTTCCTAATGTATCTACTTCAAACTTCATATATATGTTTCTTATTATCACTCAACATTTTTAAGAAGGTTAAATACTCTAGCAAGACTATTTCCTGAATTATGTCCCCCTTGAACTTGAGAAATTGGTATTTTTTACTCCAATTTCTTCATTCCTTATAGGATTTACTTTAAAATCCCAAATCGTAATAATATGACAAGGTTGTATAAACATAATTGCCTTACTAGGCAGGGAAACTTAACACATTACTGTGAAATAGACAAACTTAGAACTCAAAAGATTTAAGTTCATTCATGTCATTCATTCACTTGTAAAATTGAAATCAGAATGTTGCTGGGGTTCTAACCGGTAGGGGACTTATGGATTACTTGCAATACTATGATAATTGCTTGTTTAAGCATTTTATCTTTGTTATTATATATGGTATCTACTCTAGACTTAAGACAATAGTCCTTTGTCATTCAATCGTGTATGGCAAGGTTCATAATTCTAGCATCTTAATATCAAGAGTTATTTCTTCTTATAACTCATAATTTTACTTTATAAACTTTAGATAATTTTTGCCTCATCACTTTTCTCACAAAGGAACACTCATACTTTTCCAGTAGAACATAGAAATGTCTGTTTATTTTTCATTGACATGATCACATGCATATTACGTGGTGCAAAATATAGAACATTTGAGTTGTGCTTCCTTGATGTTGATACAGAAATATTTTTATAATTCATAACAGATTTTTTTTATTAGTTTTGTCTTCCTTTTACTACTGTGTCCAGTATTGAATTAGTCAAGCTTCCCTGTCTCCTGTGACAACTCTTGTTTATTGTATAACTTTTATTTCCTCACAAATGTACTTCAAATTTCAAAGTTAATGTTCATTTTTAACATTCCTGCTTCATATATATGATTTTTTCACTTTCCTTCTTATTACTTTAAATAAATGTTGCTGGTGTTCTAATCAGTAGGGGACTGATTATAATTGTGATCACTCAAAATGTAATGAAAACATTTTATGCAACCTAAAATATAAGTAAATTGCAGTATACATAGAGATTATACACATCATTTTAATCTTGAATATAGGGAGTATTTTGAGAGCTGACCTACTCAACAAGCGTCTGTGATCTTGTTTAGATTTCTGATTCTTGTTTTATATGTTTTTTCACTATAACATATAAGTTATCTATTTCTAAAGGTATTTACTTAAAACTTGAAATATATGTTTCTGATCATCAACCACATCATATAAAACAAGGTTTACAACTCTAGCACAAAAAAATCAGAATTACACCCTTGTAAAAACTTTCATTGTTTTTTTTTTCCTTTTTTATTTTTTAAAGCGACATGCCTCCAGATGAGCGAAAATATTTCAGTAAAATCAAACTTGAGATATATGTAAAAAGTAAAAATATTCAAGATTCAAGTAATAATTTACAAGTGATGTGCGATTAATGTCCATTAATGTTTCATCTGTTCTGAACCGGGGAGGGCCGACCGCTAATGTTGTAAGAACTTGGGCCCAACCCGTTTGCTTTTGCTGTTTATAATACATATGAAACTTGTATCTGTATTGTATATACATGTATATAGCAATAAAATATGATTAAACTTAGATAAATGTCTGATTTTTGTGTCGCCTCTACGGAGAAGTGGCGACATATAGGGATCACTTCTCCGTCGTTTGTCTGTCAGTCCGTCCGTCCGTTACAAAACTTGTCCGGACTACTCTTCGTAAACTACTTGTGCAATTTCATCCAAACTTTACAGGAATGATCAGTACCAAGTCCAGTTGTGCATATTGTCAGCATTTTCCGGTTCAATGATTTTTGTCAGAGTTATGGCCCTTTAATAATTTTTAATTTTAAAGTTTGTCCGGACTACTTCTCTTATACCACTAATGCAATTTCAATAAAACTTTACAGGATTGATCTGTAGCTCAAGTCCTTGCGCATTTTGCAGGGGTTGAATGATTTTTGGCCGAGTTATGGCCCTTTGATAAAAAGGTTTTTTTTTCTGTGTGTTGCCAGATACACAAAGTTATTTACATGGGCTGTAAGTGCCATTGATAATGTGTAAATTGCTTCCTTTAGGTTATTTCACTAAATAGTACTTTTAAACACATCCTAAAATTTTCATGACAACTAGCATTAATCTGTAGGCGCACTGCTTTAATGTATCTACTTCAAACTTCATAATTATGTATGTTTCTTATTATCACTCAAATCATTTGTAAGAAGGTTCATTACTCTAGCTAATATGTTCCCCTTGAAAAAAATTTTTTTACTCAAACTTCTCCATTCCTTAGAGGATTTCATTCAAAGGTTGATAAATCTAATTTCCAAAATTATCTCCTCAGACTTTAAATTTTTCTTTTTTTCTTTTTTGTTTTGGGTTTTACGTCACATCGACACAGTAGAGGTCATATTGCGACGTTCCAGCTTTCTTGGTGGAAGACCCAGGTGGGCCCTTCTGTGCTTTTATTTCAGGCATGAAACGGGGGCATGAAGTAGAAACACCGGCGTTTCCGTAAGCTAGCTGGGATTAGCTTCCTACATGAAAGAATTTCCAAATCCCTGTTCGGGATTCGAACCCACAAGCGGTGAGGGGCAAGTTGTTTTGAAGTCAACGACCTTAACCACTCGGCCACGGACCCCCAAAATTTTTCTTTCATTCTCACTGTAACTTTCTTATTTCTTTGTGGATTTACTTCAAATTCAAAAATATACATTCATTATTTACATCATATGTGATTAGATTTATAAGTCATGGGTTTCCATTGTAATCATTTTGAGTATGGCAAAATATGAAGTGTCATAACTATCTTGTTTCAAAGAACCTTGAAAATCTAACGATTATATTAGTAGTATCGGCTACATGTTTAACACAGTTATTAAGTTGCCATTTAAACAGTTAGCAATTTTCGTGCCCCCCCCCCATCCGTTCGTTCTCTTTTTGTGTCCATCCATCTGTTGGTTCTCTTTTTGTGTTGCACGTAGCTCAAAAAAGTATTTGACCTAGTGTTATGAAACCTTACAGGAATGTTGATCTGCATGTGAAGTTGTGCACCTGGGTATTTTCATGTGGATATTTTTAGTATTTTTAGAGTTATCGCCATTGAATTAGTAAAAATGTTCTAATTTTCAACTTGTGTCGCACGTAACTAAAAAAAGGATTTGACCTAGAGTCTTGAAACCTTACAAGAATGTTGCTCAGCATGTGTAGTTGTGCATGTGGGTATTTTGTGTGATATTTTTGGTATATTTAGAGTTATTTGACCAAGAGACATAAGATTGACAAATCGGTGAAGTGTGGGGAACCTGTGTCCTATGGACACATTTCTTGTTCTAACTGTGACACGCCTAATTGTAAGAAGAGATCCAGTTAATTGATAAGATTTTTTTCTTACAGGTACATTTGATGTACATGTAAACAATCTTATTGCGCCACACCCTTCAAGGGCTACAAGAACAATTTATCACGAACATGTGGGTAGCCTGACTGATTCGTTTAAAGAAAATGATAATGGACAGCTTGTTATAATGATTGGAATGCTGACATTCGGACAGAGAATTTGCATATAGATGGCTCCACAAAGATCGAAATACTTGGAGGCAACCACACGAGACAGGCCCTTCAATCTCTAAATCAGAGAGGTGTACTGACATGTCAATTGGTTAAAGTAAATTTATACAGACCTCTGCCATTGACTGCAGCCCTTGCCATAGGATACCAACATAATGCTCTACTTCATGAGAAAAGAAAACCCCTATCCTTCATAGATAAAGTGCGTCTAATGAGACAATGCAGGCCAGCACACAACATGAGTAAAACCCAGTTAAATGAATGGAAAGATATGCTTGTGACAATCTTCCGTGCAAAGGTAAGTCTTTTTTATTGTAACCCTTTCTTAAGATATCATTTACTAAACCAATAATTCCCTTTCTTGTTCAAATAGTTAAAGGTAAATGTAATGAAATTTGCCACTTATATATGATATTCTATAAATTATTGCATATGATATTCAGAGTAATTTTTTCAATGTCTTGAGATATACAACACCATCTGAAAAAAATTTAGAAATAGGTCTTTTACCGCTGGTCTTTTATTAGCTCACCTGAACTTGCTCAGGTGACCTTTAAGGATCGTTGAATGTCTGTCGTCTGTCCACATTTGTTTGTTAACACTCTGGTCACATTTTGCAGCAATCTTTATGCAACTTTGTCAGGATGCTTGGCTAGTTAATTGCTTGAATGAATTTGAACATGGGTTATCTCGGATGAAAAACTAGGCCACAGGAGCTTAAAGTAGAAAAAATTTTGTTAACACCAGTGACTAGGGTTTTTATCTAAACATTCTGGAAATAATCAGAAAGTTTATTTTGATGACTTCTAGGGCTAGTTCAAATATGGGTCACCTGGGGTGAAAAACTAGGTCACATCGCCCAAATATGGAAAAACCTTGTTGACACTAATGGTCACACTTTTGACTCAATTATCCATACTTAATGAGGATGCTCGTCTAGGTAATTGCTCAGAGGAGTTCGAACATGGGTCATCTTGGGTGAAAAACAAAGCCACGGGAGCTATGCATATAAAAATCTTGTTGACACTCAAATGGCTACTGTTTGGTTCCAAATATTCTGGAAATTGGTCTGCAAGTTTGTATTGATGATATAATGGTCAAGATTGAAAATGGGTCTAGGTCACACTGCCCGAATATTGAAAAACCTTGTTAATACTCTAGTGGTCACATTTTTTATTCTAAGTAATTGCAGTTTGATTGGACAGGTGAGCGATCTGGGGAGATCTTGGCCCTCTTGTTTTACATAATTATACTTTATTCTAAGAAACACTGTGTGAATTGTAGAATAGTTTTAACCAATATATCTCAGTATTTATATGAAACTGGCCATGGTTAACTTGGGTATTTTTATATAACTGCTTTGATTAAAAAGTAATATGCCAAACGGTGAAGTTCTGGCTTAAATTGGATTAGACAATGAACTCGCAATTTGTCATTGTGTTCTTGCATTGTTCATGTTAAATTGTTATGAGAAAAGGTACACTTGCTGATTAATTAAATCAAAATTTAAATTGCCTCCAATTTTTTTTCCTTTGCAGTATAATAGATTTAGTGCCTGAAATGGCCAAAATACAATTATAATATCATATTATTATGAAAACGTATGGCTAAACCAGGGTCTTGAGATTTCATAAAACTCTTGTTACATGTATTTTGCAATGGTAATATTGATAGTTCAAACATTTTTTCAAAGGTGAACAAATTTAAATGTTTAATAGAGTTTTCTTATAATGAATGAAGATATTAGTCCTCAGACATGTCAGTCATATTTTTGGATAATATTCCAATTAAGTTGTCAACAACAACAAATTTGATATAAATACAAAGTTTACATTATCTGTACTACTGTAACAGATGAAATAACCCTTTAGAGCAATACATTCATCGTGAATTTTCTGAAAATAATCGTTTTGATAGCCAAAGTTAGACTTTGGATAATAGGAGAAAAAAGGAACAACTAGATGAAAATGAATGTATATATATGGGTTCTTTGTTTCTAAATTCGGGGTATCTGACTCATTTACAATGCGGAAGACATCATTGGCATTTATATTTTCTATGGTATTGAGGTCATTCTTGTTATGTGCCTTATTGAAAGTATGCAAAACAATTTCAAGGTTTTTTTTTTTTTTTTTTTGACAGGACCGTAGGAAAATGATGGCGGGTTACCAACAGCACATGCATATGGCAAGGTTATCGGATGAAATCTGGACAAAACTTTTGAGGGCAACAGAAAAGGTAACAGCTGTAAATGAGAAGTTTTTCAGACCTTTAATGAGGATAGATGATGACGAAAAAATTAAGGAATGCCTCGACATCTTGATGGAAGAAGGAACAAAGGTTTTTCATAAGAAAGTGTAAGTTTTTGAATTTTTTTTTTTCATCTAATATTAAATGTTCATTATAACTTTAGAATTTTCATTGTCAGTTATTGGACATTCTACATTTTTGTGTCGACTGCTACTGAGTAATGGTGGCATATAGGGATCACTTGTCGATCCATATGTCTGTCACAAAACTTGTCCAATTCTGCTTCGGAAATTGACTATCATGAGGTGGCACATTTGATCCTTTTTTTTGCCCTTTTTTTTAACCCGGGATTTTCCTTTTAAACCATTTTTGGGAGATTTTTTAGCAGCTTTCCCCCCCCGATAAGCAAAAGTTTGTAAAGGAACAGGGGGTAATTTTTTTAAAGACAAATCTTTTAAAAAGCCCGTAAATTTAGTCTTAATATTTGCATTACATATTTTTTTGATTATTTAAAAATTGTAAATATGGTTAAAATTTTGGGGCCTTTTTTAATTTAGTAAACCCGGGAAAAATTCCCTTCTAAATTTTATAGTTAAATTTAACCCAGTTATTGCACAAGGTTTTGAAAACTTTTTCACTATAGGGCCGGGGTCTTTCTTTTCTGAAACTGTTGTTTTTTTTGGTTTGTAATAAATATTTAAAAAAAATATCATATTCTTTTAAGATTTGAAATTTTTTAATTAACTTGTTAAATAAAACTTTGCTTGCTAGAGAATCGCGTGATATAATTTTTATTCAATTTCAATAAGTTATGAATTAAACATACACTCGTATCCTTATTATCTATGACAAATTTATATTTTTTTATTATAGAAAACAATTCATTGATGAAGGATGTGTAAAATCCAAAAAAGACAAAACAAGTGAGTTTTATCTTAAATGGTACTGTATATAACATAACAATGATAGAGTGTGCTGTTACACCTTTTATTTTTACAAAAGGATGTGTAAAAGGGACATTTAATATCATAAATGTTTTATATGTTTTCCTACAAATCAGGATATAGGAACTAATTAGCAGTAAGGTATAGGATCAAGACTTTTGTCAACAACTTATCCAAAAGTTAAACAAAATCTTACAATTCAATGAAATGGAAAAAAATGGTGCCCCAAAATGGAGTTATTGAATTAAGTGTTAACTTTTTCAAAGTTGGTTTATAGCTTTTGCTTGGAGATATTGATGTAATGAATTCTCAAATATATTTTTTTTTCTGTTTCAGACTGAACAACCAAATGTAGAAACACCAAACGAGAGAGAAGACAGTATTGTGTTGAAAAGAAAGTACCTTACTCTCAAGGTAAGCTTCATTCATTTGAAACACAAGGTTTTGAAACTAAAAAAAAATCTTTGGAAATAACCCAAATGGCTACAGCCTAAAAATTAAGCATAAAATATTTTCTAGTAATTACCAAGTTTGTTCAGGGGGGGGGGGGTGATTGATTTTCCTTTTTATATTATAAAAACAAAAAAGGCTTATTTTAAATAACCGGAAGAGCTAAAGCTTACATGAAACATCTATTCGTGAGTGCTTTCCAGTTTAAAAAGATCCCATGCTATTGATTTTCATTATATGCATACAGTTACAAAAAAAGATCTTTTAAAAACCCAAATTGATCAAGTTTTCTGACATGTATGAGAGATTTAGGGTCATTATGGTCCTCTTGTTTTGTACAATGGCAGTTTCCATGGTAGTCGCATATCTCAAAACTGTGGAAATAGCCACACTGTTATGGGGTGAGTGGGGTAACACATGCAGATTGATCAATGTGGTCATACTACATGTACTAATGCTAGTTGAAATCTTTATCTGGTGTTCTCATTCAGAACATTTAGAAATATTTATTCTGTATTAATTACTATTTGTTCTGTAGCCGAAAAAATTATTGTTCATGCCCTTGTGGATTTTATTAAATAGGAATACTGATTAAAATTAATATAAAGTAAATTTTGATTTAAATATGAAAAATAATTACATTAAAATTAACATGAGTCATGAAACTAACACACACGGTAAAAAAAAAAAACTGTATCTGTTTGAAATGTTCAAAATTGAAATAATGTATAAATTTATTTCTTTTTTTTGTTCAGGAGAAGCATAGCAGCTTGCTGCACGAATTTGAACAAATTGCAGAAGAAAACAAGCGTTTGAAAGAGAGTTGGAGAACATAAAGGCAGCTGGTAGTTATATACAAACTTTTTCATGTCTATAAATTTTTTTAATTATTTATTTTTGTTTCTTAAATTTTCATGGTGTTTATTAAAATTTTGTTGGCAAGGAAGTTTTAAAAAAAGTGTTTGAACTTAACTAGTTCTATACACCAGAAAAAAATAAATATGTTAATTTCGGCTTAGTACACCATATGATTTCAATATGTTAAACTTTTATTTCATGGACTACATGAAAAACATGTAAACAATGATATAAATGTACATATATTATCATAGTTTACATTGAATAAATTATCAAGTCGTTTGCTAGATAATAACCAAACATAGCTTCATGTAAAGTTTTATTATTATTTTAGAAGATTTAATCTTCTTTTAAATATTTTTATTAACTAATGATCAAAGGTATGTCGTACGTTGTAAGGAAAAGATGTGTGATATGCTTACTATATTGGTTATCTTACAATATTACAAGATCAATGCTCAAAGAAAATAAAAATATTTTTTATAATACTTCTTTCGGCAGTAATGAAATAATTTTAGCTCAACTTTCCTAGTCACCCAAAAGCCGGCATTCCATTGCGAACACCATTAATGTTAAAGTTTGTGCAGCAACTGAAGAGTTTCAAAGTCCATTTGACATATGGCTTTGGAACTTTGCACACTTGATCACCATCATGTCTCCACTTGTACTTCAAGCATTTTGACTGAGAATTGTTTAGCGTGCTTTCCTACTTTAATGTGGCATGAGTTTCTTTCTTGAAGTTAGCTTGAAAGATTGAAACAGATCTTTTTCAAATTATGGAAGGGGCCAACTATGCCCTGTTATACTTTTGTCTTTTTGTAAAGGAAATGATTCCATAATATCGTGGTAATTATTTTACATTAGAAAGTTGCAAACAAACAATTAATATTTACATCTGTATTTTCCTAAATGAGCTCAAAGATTTATCAATTATTTATCCAAAATATTTTTGTTTGAAATAAAGTTTATAATTTTCAGCAGAATCAAAAGGGAAGAAGAGAGTTAGGGATTCAGATGATGTAAGTTTGTTCTACTTGTATGCAATTGAATTCTTACAGCATTTGCCTGTTGCAAATGTTGTACACAATATTTTTTTCTTTTATATTTACTAGGGATGGCAACGAGTAACGCTAAGCCAAGTACTCCATCGAACATTCGGTTATCAGTTAACAAAATTGATATTCTATTACTCGGAAAAAATATATAATTTATATTTTTTTTACCATTTAGAAAGATTGGGTGTGTCCAATTAGTTCAGAAATAAGGAGATATGCATGTATTCTTCATTAAATACCAGTTAAATGCAATCACATCTTTCTTGTAGAGGTACGAAATGATATCATAAATTCAAATCGAGACTATCAACAGTTTGACACGCGCACCTTTGTCACTTATGTCATCCAGCTCTTATGATATTCAGTTACCTTTTATTTTGTAACAGTTTGTAGCGGGTTACTCAAGTATTGATTTTTGTATTCATTGCCATCCCTTATATTTACAAATTGAAAGAGATTAATTATTAAAAAAAT